CCTATTCTACCATTGCAAAAATATATATATATATATATATGCTAATTCAGTTCGTTTATTCTCCTAGTTTCTCTTAGCTTATTGAAAACAAAGTTTTGTGAAATTATTTGTTTGTTTCTTCTTTGTAAGAGAGAATCTTTTCCTGTATATGTCTTGTCCACTAAGTACTTGCAAGATAATGATACACAGTGCATTAAATATTGTTATTCTATTATAATTTTGTTTTGAAATTTTTCCTTTTTGCATAAAATAAAAAAGCAATTATAGCAGTCTCTTTAATGTAGAATGTTCTGTTATTGTACCTTATTTGCTGTTGTTTATTAGTGTTTCATTTTGGCTGACTCACACCTACAAATAACGCACTGTGAGCATTTGCACCCCTCTCATCATTCTCTTCATCCTGCCCTTGGCCCTAGCTTCACATTCGGGGAGAGAGTTTCCACGTATACTAAATATTTTGTTCATGTCATGTTTTCTCATTTTGCACACTTCCTGTGTCTCATTGTCTCCGTTCCACTTTATTGACTTTTTTTTTTAGAATCCATGTATTAGGGAAATCATGTGGTATTTGTCTTTCTAAATCTGGCTCATATTGCTCAATATTATGGTCCCTAGATCTGTCTATTTTCTTGCAAATGAGGTAATTTTATTGTTTCATGGGGTTATATTTTCATGTTTATGACTGTACTTTTTGTTTACATTCTCCTAGGACTAACTAAACATGTTCTGTGCTTTATGACATTTAGTGTATCTCCTAGGGAAAATTTTCTTTTCATAAAAATTTCTTTTTTATCTTTTGTCATTATTCAGTGTGTATTTTTCTTTCTGACCAGTATATATTTTGGATACATTTGCCCTTTATAAATGTATGTTTTGAACACCCTTTCTTTATGGTGTCATTCTGTTGTTTTCAAGTATACAATTTATTTTTAACAATACTCATTATGATGTAAAGACATATCTTCTAGTTATTACTCTTATCTAACTAAAATCTGTCTTTTCACCAACATCTATGTAATTTCCGAACCCACTACTGCAGGTATTCACCATTTTGTTCTGAGTTCAACTTTTAAATATCTACTTTTAATTAATTTAATGCATTTATTTATTTGTACCTGATTATTTTTTGTAACATTGGGTGTTCCAAGTTTATCGACATGATAACTAATTCCAGGACTTCCTTCTTTCTAAAGGCTGATTCTTATTACATTGTGTAGATGTATCACTATTTTTCATCTGATCATCTGATGTCAGACGCTTGGGTTGACTGCATATTGTGTTCTTAATTGCGATATGTCAGGTTGACCTGAGTGAGAACCACCTCGCACATTAGTAAAGTTCTTGGTGTGACTGTATCTGACATATAAGTCAGAAAACTGAAATGGGAGGACCTATCCCTGATGTTGGTGACACCATCAAATCAGTTTGTAGCCTGGACAGGATAAAAAGAGTAAAAAAGAAAGTGCTTCCACTTTGGAAGAGTTCCAGTTTTTGGCATTGCTTTTGGACACCGGTCTTCAGTTTCACCAGCCCTCCCATGCATACCTACATTGGTGACTCAATTGTCAGGTACCAAGCCTTCAACTACTTTTTGCACATATTTTTATTTCTACAAATTGTGATACATGATGAATGCACTGATCATAAGGAGACAGGACATGTATATATTGCATCTTAAGTCTTTATATTTCCCCTCACCTTCATTCCCTCTCCTTCCATCACTAGATCATTCCCTAGCTATCTGCATAAGTTCTAATGCCCTGTTCCTTATCATCTATGATTTACTTTGCTCTTTAAATTATTGGTACTTTGGTTTCTTATATAGGAGAAACCATGCTATATTTAATTTTCTGTGCCTGCTTTATTTCACTTAGCTTTTTGGTAATGTGATGGATCTGCATTTCTACAAATGATTCAATTTTATCCTTTTGTATGCCTGAGCAGTATTCCATTGTGTGTAAATACCACATGTTCTGTATCCATTCATCTGCTCACATGTATGTATGCTATTTCCAAAATTTAGGTGTTTTGAATTGTTCTGGTATAAACATGTCTATGAATGTATTGTTGTGCCCAGATCGCGAAGTCCCCAAAGACCACCAAGGAGCCGATTCCAATGTAAACACTTGAGGGTGGTTTATTCAAGCTCGAGCAGGGGCACTCAACCATCACCAACGCAGCAGATCAGGATCGAGAGCCCTGAATTTCAAATCAGCAGGGCTTTTATTGTGGCTACAGCAAGGTTTGGGGATTTTCCATTTAGCAGTTACATGATTGGTTGATATTTAGCAAGTATGGGGTGTACATCAGGGGGGTTGAGGGGTGGCTACATGTAGATTTTATGGGAAAAAGGAACAATCAGCACATTGACAGAATGTTCTATAGATAATGGGCCCGGGGGCATCTGTTTTCTGGGCAGACAGAGGATTGAGTTAGGAGCTGTCTCTTCTTTTTATCTGTTGTCCCAGAGCAAGGACACGTTATCATTACTTTATGGGCACAAAGGAGACTAGGGGAATAGTTGACTCCAGAGAAGTGGAATTTATGTCAAGGCCACTTCACTGTCTTATTCCAAGATGGAGTCAAATTTTAAAATGGAGTTAGTTAGGTCTCACAGTATCACTGTAATGTTATGTCTTTAACTCTTTGGGAAGATACCCAGAAGACATAGACCTGGGTCAAATGAAATTTCTATTTTAAATTTTTTTAAGAATCTCCATACTGATTTCCACAGTTCTTGTACTAGTTTACATTCCACCAACAATTCTCACAACAGACAGAAGTTCATTTTTTTCACAACCTCATTTGTTGTCTTTTGAATTGTTGATAACCATTCTCTGTGGGCCCCAGAACAAAAGAAGGTTCTGAAACAGCTCCAGGCTGCCATTCCGGTTGCTCTGCTACTGGGGCCACAGGACCCAGACAGATCCAATAATACTGGAGTTATCAGTAGCAGATAAAGATGCTGTTTGGAGCCTGTGGAAGGCCCTCAGAGAGGAGCCACAGCAGAGGCCCTTACAATTTTGGAGCAAGGTTCTGCTATCATCTGTACAAAAAACCACTCTCCATTTGAGAAACAGCAACTAACCTGATACTTAGCCTTGAGAAACTGAACTCTTAAACTTGGGACACAAGGCTACAATGTGGCTCAAGATACCCATCCTGAACTGGGTGCTATCTGATCCATCAAGTCTTA